TACCACGGCCTCACAGAAAACCGGCGTGAAACAACCTCAGCGTTGTGTTTTGCCATGTGAGTGAGGTTACCGGACGCCCAATCCCTCCCCCCGTCCCTTCCCAATCCTTAAATATCCGAAACCTTACCTCCTTAAAAAGTGTGTGTCCATGGGCGGCCCCGATTGCTTACCATCAGGTAATCCGTCTGCTCGTTTGCCGAACTATATAGGTATACCTTAAAAAAGTAAGTTTAAGCCGTTAACTCGTAGGTTACTTCTTTATCAAAAGTGGATCTCACTAAATGGGAATTAGAGGACATCCTTGTTGGCCTTGTTGAAGTTATACAAAGTGTAACAAAGTGGTAATTATCCCTAATTAGCTAACGGAGGACGGAAGTAAACAGCACACATTAATATATATACTTTACCTTCATATTTCTGTTTACGACAACAAAGACATCTGACAGAGATCCAGCCGTCTTTGTAACTAGTACAATAAAATTAGTTACCCCACCTACAAACCGCTATCAACACGGCCCCGTCCTCTACAGCATAAAAGCATGCATCATCCCGGTCCCGGCAATAAACTTTGTAACTACTAACCAACAACCGAGCATCGAAAGCTCTGTTGTTTGGTAAAGTTTCTATCGATATGACTCCACTATAGTTTGCACGTACAACATTGCGCATAAATTCAAGAGTTTTACTTAATAGTTATTTAACGTTTCAAGGCTAAGTACTTGATTTAAAATAAAAATAGGTTGATCACTTTCAGTTCTTGTAAAGAAGACACATCCAAACTAAAATGAACCCTTTTTAACAAGTTGTAGTAAAGTATGTTTAGCGGCAACGAAGGTTTGCAATTTGCATGCCGACGCGATGTGGCTTGAACGGTGAACTAATCTTATCTTTCAGATTCATCTGGTTAAAGTTTCTAGTTTGAACGTATCTCTAGGCCTTGAGCGAGGTATCATCTCTTCTTTGTAACTCTGTGCTACACGAGGACAGTGGTAAATGTGATCGTTGTAGATGTCACAAGAAATAATTTAAGAAATTAGTATTTTGGTATTCTTATAATATTTTCTCATCTGTGTTCCGGAACAAATTACTTACATTTTTATATTGTGGCATTGGCTGGGCTGCTCCATGATCTGTCAATTTTATAATAAAGTAGGCAATTGAATTACCTTTCTCCAAGGGACACCTTCTGATTGTATCATGGTAAGCAATTGATGCCGTTTTGGTACTCGTATACTTATAAATCACATTTAAAAATACTACATATTAATTAAATTATCAAGCTTTGACTGAATCTGATATAAGTACCTTCATAGGTTTTTTTCTGTAACGGGAAATCATCAAATGGCTTCTCCCGCCCAGGGTAGTGTCAGACTCTTACTGACTAAAGACCCTCTCTTCTCTCCTCTTTCTTCTCCTGCTCTGGGCCGAGGCCGCGCTGCCTCATTGCGCTTACCCCGCAACCGCAACTAGTACATATGTCACCGGAAAATAACAAGATCCGTAAGTTTATCATTTTACTAGGAAGTTTATAAACTTTCGTAAGATTCTAAACGGGAGATAAATTGTAATATTTTACATCCACATTTTCGTAAATTTATCAATTTTCGAAGTCATACGGTAAATTTATAAACTAACGAATATCTATTCGTAAGATTTTATATGGTTCGACCAATCACAGAAACTCTTTTAAATATAAGATCTTGGAAATACGTAAAATAACACACTGCTCTCTGATTGGTCAATGTTCATAGTGGCAATGCTTTGGAATAATCAAACTTGACAAACTATAAATTGGAAGCAACAATGCCTGGTTCCTCTCTATCACGGATGTAGTGAGTTGAGTTTTCTATTATGAGTTTCAATAAGCTATTTAATTTGTTTATGTTCCGTGGCCAGTAATGGCGGCCGCGAGGAACGAGAAGTGACACGTGACAGCCAACCAATCAGATCGCGCGTAGCATTTGGTTACTGCTTACTTATTATTTTACGAGTGAGTTCAGTAAGTTTATCAATTTACGAAAATGTGGACGTAAAATATTACAATTTATATTACGAAAGTTTATAAACTTCCTAGTAAAATGATAAACTTAGGGATCTTGTTATTTTCCGGTGACACATACATACATGTCCTTTGTTGGTATTGTTCACAGTTTTTATCGTCATCATAGAAAGAAAGAAAGAAAAGAAAGAAAGAAAAGAAAGAAAGAAAAGAAAGAAAGAAAAGAAAGAAAGAAAAGAAAGAAAGAAAAGAAAGAAAGAAAGAAAGAAAAAGTTTATTGACACAAACCATGTGCACACAGACATAGTAACAAGAAGGTTTTTTAATAAGTATAAAAGAAATAAAATAATTTTTAACAAAAAAAAGCGACTTCAAAACGTAAACTAAAAAGCAAAAAATAAATTTACTTTGTTTAAAATAATACATATTTTCATTTAGGTAGTTAAATATAAAATAATATTTAATAACTATTTTATAATCTTAAAGTCGGTGCCAAGTAAAAGAATAATAGTGTAAAGATGTTATCATCAAACTAGCAAGAGGTTACATACCTCTTGCAAATATCATCAAACTAGCAAGAGGTATGTAACCTCTTGCTAGTTTGATGATTAGTAGTATTCAATATATTTTTCTAATACTCTTATTGTTTGGTATGTAGTATTTACTTGGCACCGACTTTAAGATTATAAAATAGTTATTAAATATTATTTTATATTTAACTAAATGAAAATATGTATTATTTTAAACAAAGTAAATTTATTTTTTGCTTTTAGTTTACGTTTTGAAGTCGCTTTTTTTTTGTTTAAAATTATTTTATTTCACCATTTTAAGTGATAGGCAGAGAAAGCTAGGCTGCTTCTCAAAAGAGAAGACGACAATCACGGTAATGGCAGTCCAGAGTCAGCTTTCAGTGCCGTAAATCGTTGAGGAATTCCCTCAAATGTCAATGACCTCCATCATCAGGTATACTGCAGGCCTTCATTATACATAATCTATATAGGTGCAAAGTTCTCAACAATATAAATGAATGAAGTCCAAACACATTATAATTACTCCAAATAGTCAAATCGATCCCACGACGGTCTTCCGGCTCCATCATCACAATTTACTGCATAACTTCATTGTAATCCATAAAGGTGCAAAGTTTTCATCGATATAAATGAACGAAGTCGAAACACGAGGTAGTTACTGTAAACCGTTCAGAAGTTCCCTGAGCTGTCCATCGTTCTCATCATCAGACCCTTAATGACAGTCACGACCAATCTTGGTGCAAAGTACTCACCAATACGAATCATTCAAGCCCAAACACAAGGCAACTACTCCAAATAGTCAAGGAGATCCCTCCACTGTCTTCCGGTTCCATTATCAGGTTGGGTTCGAACATCGGCAAGTTGTAAATTTGTCAAAAGCCTACTTAAATCATATGCAAAAGCACCACTCGCCCCTACAATTTTTGAAAGTTCCCCTCGATTTCTCTGGTCTTCCATCATCAGATCCTGATTTCCTTTTCATGGGACCATTCTGGGACTATCTCTATTCCAATAAAAAAAGAATTATCAAAATCGGTTCATAAATAACGGAGATATCGGCGAACAAACATAAAAAAAAGCATATATACGGTCGAATTGAGAACCTCCTCCTTTTTTGGAAGTCGGTTAAAAATAAAGAAAAACTACATAACTGTGTGCCTCACGGCTGCGCCAAACAGGTCCAGTTCAGTATAAATGCCAGACCACTTGGGCCTGACGCTGGTTTTCAGCTGGACCTTTGTGCATGCTATCATCATCAGCCTATAAGTGCCTACTGCTGAGCAAAGGCCTCATCTCACACGGAGAAGGTTTAGGGCATTAATCACCACGCTTGCTCAATGCAGGTTGGCGATTTCAAACTTATAATTAGAAATTATAAGTCCAGGTTTCCTCACGATGTTTATGGTTTTCAGTTTTTAAGCTTCTAATTTATTTATTATTATATTATTTATCAATTAAATACCTTGGTTGTTATAACACCTAACTGGTCGCTGACTAGGTATACTTTGTATTGTATTCAGTTGGAACAAAATACGAACATGCTTTAGCAAGGACATGACGTGGCTTTATTAAACGATAATATCATCGATCTAACAATATTCGAAGAGAGGCAACTCGTTGCCAACGAGTCCCAAGTGGACAATGGCACGGCGCGCTTACGTAACCGCTAACCGGGGCGCATGCAACAGGATCACGCCAAGCAAGTAGGAAGTCCGTGGAGGTCGGCGAAGGTCGGTATAGAGCGGGCAGTGCAAGTCGTGCACCTTCGGCGCGGAAGTAGGGCGGGCAGAGCGCAGGCGCGCGGGCGGCGTGGGGCGCATGCGCGCGGCGCGCGTCGATGTAGGCGCGCGACTGGCGCGCTGTCCGCGGACAGCTGCGCCGCGCCGCGCCCGCCGCGCCCGCCCGCCGCCAGCCGCTGCCAGGCGCCCCACGCCGCCACCGCCAGCGCGCCCCGGCCGCCCCGGCTGCCCGCCCGAGCGGCCCGAGCCTGGCCTCGCAGTATTTCAGCGACCTTGCGTTCTCCGCCCCTGTGGGTACACGGAGCCGCTGACTCGGTCATCAACCCACGAAGCAAATTTATTCGATGTACTTACTTACTTTTGAATGATTTATGTGAAGTTTGACGACCCTGGATGGACACAGTTTCTCGCAATCACCATTGAATTAGTCAGAATATCAGTTCTTAAATTAGACATTTGCCTTATAGTATGAAATTAAATATTTGCTTCAAATCTGAAACGTATATTTTGAATCAGTCAGGATTAAAATCGATGTGACTCTAGTTTTATGCTTAGGCCGACCGCAAACCAATATTTTACATAGATCTTCAGTGAAGAATTCAATAATAATGTGATTATTTGTATTTGATCGATTACATTATGAGATAAGCCAAGTGGCCGTGAGTTGTTGATGGGAGTGTGTCGTGTACAGCGCCGGGCGGCGTAGCATGCGGCGGCAGTAACCCGCGGCCGATGGCGGCCAGCAGCGCGCCCGTGCGCCAGCTGCGCCGCGGGCCCGCACCGATCGCCTCCTTCGACCACGACGTCTCTGACGAGGTGAGACCACCAGTATGTATCTTTCATGTTCTTCTTCTTCTTCTTGCTTTGTTATTTGCTAGATCCATGATATTTCCTATATGTGATTCTTAGTTTCCGTATAGCATTTTGTAATGAAGACCTTTACTATTACAGTCTAGCCCGGAGACGAAGCAAACATTTCGTTTACCAGAGATCCGCGAGGACCCAGCTAACGCAGCCCGCAGCCCCGGCTCGGCGCTGGGTCTGCCGGAGCAGCGCGCGCGCTCGCTGTCGACGCCGGCCGTGAGCTCGGGGCTGCACACGCCGGCCGCGCCGCGCATCGACATCTCGCGCGCGTCCAGCTCCAGCCACCACGACTCGCGCGACAGCTCCCCGGAGCTGGCGCTGTTCGCTGGCACTGGCAGCGAGGACACCCGGGGCCGCCTCGAACTTGGCTTCCGCGAGGACGGCGCGCTAGAGCTGCGCTCGTCCACCGAAGAGCTGGCTTTTCTAGAAGGCGCGCCTGGCGAGCCTCGCCCCGCCGCGCCGCCACAGCCTACTTCGCGTCGCCACTCACGCAAAGACAGTCAAGGATCGGAAGCGGCCCTTCTGGCCGTGTCTGGTCGTACCAGTCGGCTGTCAAGTGTTGGATCGCAGTGTTCGGCGCACTCGGCACTGTCCGCCTTCAGTCATCAAAGTCGCCACTCAGTAGGCCGACTCTCGGTTGTTTCGGGAATTTCAAGGTCTCCCTCACCGCACAGGATGTTACTGGAAACTTCGTTTTGTGGACCCAAACCTATAGAGACCGATCCAGAGATCTGCGCAGCTGCTGTAGAGGAACGCCTGTTGGAGATTGCGAAGATGACCGCGGCTTCACCACCAGGCGCAGCGCCGCAGGCAATAGACGCACGCGATCGACGTGAAGTACGCACAGAAGCTACAGTGGAGCGACCCGCCGCCCGTGCCCCGCCACCCTCCCCGCTACCCGCGCCCCCGCCAGCCACCAGCCAGATGACTGCAGAGTCAGCTACAGTAGTATCAGTAGAACCCGTCCCAGCAATAATTACACCGGTTACAAGTTCTGGTATAATGTCTATTCCAGCACCTGCTTTAACTTCTGCGCCAGATGATGATAAGCTTCAAAAGGAATCACAGAATCGTGCGAAAGCCCAAGAAAGACGTGCACGACCTCGAGTGCGGCGTGAACCGTCGGAACCCGAGGTTTACAAGAGCGCAAACCGTTCGAAGGACATCATCCGCATAAAACTGAAGCCTGACGACGACTACGAGGAAGAAGACGAAGCAGCACTAGGAGCGACAGCAATCGAAGCGGAGATAAACGTAGAAGTGAGTCAGAAGCCTGCAAGCGTGGAAGTGGGGGCGCGTGGGGAGCGCGCCGTGCGGCCCACGGAGCTGGTGGGGCGCGCCTCGCAGCCTGCGCCCGCCTCGCCTCCGCCGGCCGCCCGGCGTCTGCCGCGCGACAGCCGCACTCCGTCTCCTGCTGGCGTTGCTGTCTCCCGAAAGTCTTCTTTTTGCTCACTGTTCAAATCTCGAGAAACAATCGCATCGCCCGATTCACCATCAGACGCACTCCGACGCAAAAGAAGTTTAACAGAAGGTCGTTCCCGAAGTAAAAGCCGCGATCGTTCTGCGACTCCAACGTCTGCCGGAAAGATAAGAGGATCAGTGTTATCGCTATTTCGCACACCGAGGAAGAGCGCCGCGTCTCCTTCGCCGAGTTCACGTGAAGGTTCTCCTATAGTTCAGCCACAAAAACAGATTGCAACAGTTGCACCACAGTTCACTGAACGTGTACGGCAAGGGGATAAACTTAAGTACTACGAGGATACAAAAGATGGAATCATACACATTCCATTACGAACTCCACCCGACGAACGACCTAGCTCGAGTGGAGCGTGTCGTGACGCAGAGAGCAACAAGACCACAGCTGAGGTGGTGACGCACCGGGAACCGCCTCGCCCAGCTTCTGCTCCTCAGTCCAGGCCTGTTACTGACCGCGAGTTTACAACGCAAATCCCTCACAAGCCCACACAACGAACTGTTCTTCCTGACGGCAGCATTATAATACCTTTGCGTTCACCTACGGAGCGAACTCCAAATGAACGTCTGCCAAGTCCACCAGTGGTAGATACGACATCAACGGAAACGGGTCGCTCTGTCGAAGAGGAAGCGCAATCTGTCGCGCCAGTCGACCTCCCAGCTGCACCTACTGCTGCACCACTTCGGCATTGTGAAGATAGCGTGCCAATTCCTTCCGCTGAAGTTGAAAGATTTGAGGCCGCATCGAATACCGAAGATGGCCGAAAACGACGCAAAGAACGGCTTGTGTTTACAACCCATGTCGGCAGCCGGGAGAAAGTGTTTAGTACACAATTCAGCATAACGAAGACTCCCAGCGTGACAAGTGAAATATCAGGTTCCTTCCCAAGTTTCGTCGATGGCGAAGAGATGCGATCAACAACAGCGCGCGATATCACAACGACTGCCGAGAGCAGCCCTGCCGAGAAGGAGGCGCGATATTCGGGCAACACCTCAGGGGCTGGCACCGCAGCGGCGCCCAGTCCGGCTTCGCCACAAGAGCCAGTACGAGACTCTTCCGAATCCGAGCCCAGCTCGGAGTCTGCGCCTCCTCCGGCGGGCGACGAGGTGGAAAAGCGCGGGCTCGTAGTGCAGCAGTCGTTCGAAGAGGAGCTTCCCTACGTGCCCACCACGCTGCCGCAGGAGCGCTCCGTGGCATTGCCCATGGTACCGGTGCGCGAGCGCGGCGGGGTGCTGGTGTCGGGCGTGTCGCGGCCGCGTGCGGTCGGGCCGGGCGGGCCGGGCGGGCCGGGCGGGCCGGCCGCCCCCAGCGGCCCGCGGGTACCGCGGCCGGCCCCGCTGCCGGCGCCGCCGCCGCCAGCCGCGCAGGACAAGCTCCGTATTCGTCTGCCGCGCCGCTCCGGTTCCACCGCGCCCCCTGCTCGCCCAGACCGTCCCAATCGCTCGCGTACCCGTAGCGGTAGTGACAGTAAGTTTTCTACTTTAAGGCAGCCCATGAAATTTTTATTTTCTTACGTTATTGGCAATTTGAAAACAACGGCAAGCTCTTTGCTGTGCTACAAAGTATCCCACCGCGCCACCACTAGACCATACCTACTATTATGTACCTACAGTGATTTTTAGGGAGGCAACATTCGAATGACCTCTCTCCCACACATATAAACACGCACAATGTAGTATAGGATTTGTAAGAAACGTTTTAGCACAGAATAAGTAAGTAATAAAGTCATGATGTTTAGGTTACGACGCGCGTCCGAAAACTGAATGGATAGACTTCGAGGAAGTACCAGAGCGACGAAAGCAGCCCAAACGTATCCAGACCCTCCCGGCGGCGGCGGCGGGCGACAGCGACGGCGCGCGAGGCGCGGGCGAGGCGGAGGGCGCGGGCGGCGCGGCCGTGGTGTTCAGCTACGTGGAACCCGAGCAGTGCCGCTGCGAGTGCCACGCGCAGGCCGCGCCGGCCGGGCCGGGCGGGCCCGCCGCGCCGCCCGCGCCCGCCGCGCGCCCCGACGACCTGCTGCCGCTGCTGCAGCCGTTGCGCGCCAGGTACACGCTCTACACTGCTCCTCTTTCAAAAGTCAAAAATCATTTATTCCAATTAGACCTTTACAGGCACTTTTGAACGTCAAACAAAATTTTGAAGATATAGTGTCAGTCTGTCGGTCAGTCCTCTTAGTGAAGCTATTTGCTCGTTCCAAAGTGTAGATTCCGATGGAGAAGAACGAGCAAGAAACTCCATGGTTACCTACTCTTTTTAAATCAGATTCACATACAGATTCCTTTTACAAACAGTTGGTTCAATTATGTGAGAACAGTGTAACACTAATATTTATTGAAATATAAAAATAAAGTAACCTTAAGGACAATAGACAGTCTGGAGCTGACCAGTCCCAACTGACGGCGCCCGTTCACGAGCATGACACGTACACCAGCATCGCCCAACTCAACTATATTATAGGGAATTAAGCGATCCAGCGCCCATGCCACCGCCCCAGTGTGACCTTTCAGTGAGAATGACAACTCCAAGCTGTTATAAGGACCGACATTCTGCTAGTCCAACCAATTATAATAGGTTACAGGGCACTCACATTTACAAATTTAAGTTGTAGTTATAAAATATAATGCAATTTCACTAAAATGAATAAGTCCCGTTCAAGCAAAATCTGGAGCAGGACCAGCATGTCTCCAAGCATCTTTATCTACAATGTAATCATTCAATGTGTAGTATGCTTTTCTGCATAGTTTTCTTTACACATAATTTAAAATTTCTTTCGTTTAATTGTTGTATTTCGCCTGGGATTTTGTTATAACTTTGTTTTTACACCTCAATGATTGAAATGGTAAACAAAACTAAATCCTGGTTGGATTGAAGTAGGTTACTGACCACCGATTGTACGTAGATATGAATTAACTATACATATGTAAAACACCTATTGTAAATACTACTACTACCTATTGAAGCTTAGCTGTCCCACACTTTGTACTTACATTACATTAGGTACCTACCTACATTTAATTTTTTACTTTTAAATGACGACTTAGGTACGTACGTGAATTGACTGAGAAAAGTTGTACTAGTTTCAAGTCCCGGGATCATCGATTACTAATAATAACTATTGGTGATCGATGCCCGGGACTCTTATTCATGAGCAGGCAGCGGACGCGTCACGGCGGCGACGCTTATCCAACTATCGTGGTTCATCTCGGTTAATTAACGTGAATAAGTCGTTGTTTTCATTAAATTTAGAAAGTCTCACAATATTCGAAATTACCTTTTATGGTTTGATTGCAACCATAAAAGGTAATTTCCCCAAACGTGGCAAATCTTGGCCACTCATTTAATGAATTATTTAACGTTATTATTAATTTAATGTATTGTATAGTCGTATTTATGTTTGCATCCTGTTGGCTCGGTAGTTCGTCGTCGCTGGAGTGCGGCGAGGAGGAGGCCCTGCAGTCGCGGGTGCAGCTGGCGCCGTTCACGGGCGACCTGGACGTGCAGGGGGGGGCAGGCCCCGCGCCCCCCCCTGCCTGCCTGCACTGACGCCACCCGCCGCCCCCGCTAGCGCCGCAGCATTCTTTACAACTATGGCGTTGAAGATTTGATCTTACCGGCAGCAGCGGCGGAAGATATTATCATTTTTGAGATGTAAATTTACCCAGTTCATTAGGTATGTAACGTATTAATGTATATTTTAGGGTCGTTTATAAATCTCCTATTAGCCACCGTTGATCTTTGCATTTTTTGATGTTTATTGAATTGTTTGACCGAAGTGTATATTGTAATTAAAATAATACGATATGAATGCCTGATTGTGTGGTTAAGGTGACGTATGTAAGTGTGTATGAAGTAAACATTTGACTCGTTCGACACAGGTTCGTGTCTGCACAACTGCCTTATCGATGAATATCTAGGTAGCCTAGGTACGAGAGTACCGCAGTGAGAGCCAAGCGTCGCCTGCGGAGCAACACTGTCATTGTAAATTGTTACTCGCTACTCGTTACTATTACAACGCCTCTCTACCAAAAATAAAACCTGCTCTCTCTCTCTCTCTCAGTACAACATACCAGAACATTATTGAATAAGTATTAAGTACCTCTAAGACACTTGTAAGATCCAATCTGGTGAGCGAGCTGGTCTTGGATAAGTTGCGAAGTAGCGATGTAAGAAATGGACCAAAACGCTAATTGTGACATGACGGAGCGCGCAGAATAGGTACAGCAGGCGTTGTATATATACTTACTATAATATAATTAATTGCCTGTGTGAACAAGTTAACATTCTCTTTCTACCGTTTTATCACTATGTAGGTACTTGTCCGAATTAATCAAGTATTTTGGAAGCTTTTTGAATCATGGCAAGTTGTGAAAGTAATTCTGTGTGTGCATACATAACTTGGTTGATGAATATGTAGTAACTATGCGGGCGAGTGTAGTACCGAGCAGTTACGTGGCGCGATGCTTGACTTGGTTGTTTATCATCCGGCAATAATCAATTAATTATCGTCTACCTACCTTATGCTTTTACATTATGTATATCTTAATTACTTATATTGTGTAATTGTATCTTAATATTTTCTCTAATAGAAATGTTATCCATGAAATCTATAAATATTTGGCTCAGCTTGGTGGTGCAATTAAGGTGGATGCTCTAAGGTACATAGCCCGCCACATTTATTTTTCTTAATTACGTGTCTTGCAATTAACAGCTCAATGTCTTGCTAAAAGTATCTAATTTTAGGAACAGATTTGACAAAACCAACAACGTATCTAGCTCCCTAACTTAAAGTAGGTATGCGTAAATTCTTGACGTTGTAACATTTTACTAAAACCGAGCAACTGAAAATTAAAATGTCGCGGGCTACCTTACACCTCCCACCTTAAATATCTCGTAAGCTTAACTCGATTGTGCTTACATCACTGAAGCTAGTTAATCAATAGAAATGGTGGTTTCTTAAACATTCCACTGCGGTCACTGTTGTGTTCAAATTAAGTGGAAATAGCACAGACTTAACGAGTGCACAGAGAGGGCGGCGCGCGGCCGTGGAGCGTGATAACCTGACAATATGTTTCCATTGTCTGCACGTTCTATTGAACCGGACGATGCGTCTGCGACGTGTAGCGACACAACTGTACCTAATCATGTTAGTTCATTTTGTTGAAGCAATTTAAGATGTGTATGTAATATTGTTACAAGAAAATCTATCAGTTAGGCAAAAGTCTGAGAAGTAAAAATATGAATTTTGCTTTCCATTTCCTGTTTTTTATTTATCAATTCTTGTCTTTTTTTCCCTCTTTTACCCCCGGTGTCCGAAAGGCCGATTAATGTTAAAATCAATTTAATCTCTTGTCAAGTCATCTGATTGGTTGACTAAATTATCAATAACCAATCAGATGACTTGACAAGAGATATATCAGGAGATTAGTTAATTTAAGCGTTGACAAGCCTTTCAGAAACCGGGCGTTAGTAACCTTTGCGGCAGATGTTGGACAGCGAGCGGCATCATACCTACCAATATTATTGAATATAATTAAATGAATAGCTGTACCGTTAACAATTCGTTTAGGTAATTAAAATCGCGTTTAAAAAATAAATAAGGAAGATGTGTTCTGTCGCATTAAGATGTTCTCAAAAAATAAATAAGTTTTGGGGTCCCATAGGTACCAAATATTTTTCAATGATATCTTCTTTTATCGTTTTCGGTAACTCCGTCGATTCCGGTCGGTAAGCATATCAACTTTATTTAGAAAATTTGCAAGCTATTCTTATTACCGTCAACTGCATCCTATGAAAATACGTCCTTCTTAGTAGACCAGGGACCATAAAACAATTTACATTATACATAATCGTTTATTTGTAACAATTTTGCGAACACTGTAACTGTGCACTTAATTACCCTTCTATTTAAACAGCAGTTAGAATAAAAAAGTACTAAATTGGACCATGGATACATAATTTTAATACAGCATAGTAGTCTCAAAGGGAATATTGTTGCCTTTAGAAATTCATAAAGAAAAGATATACATGTGCATAAATAAAAAACAATTTATTTTAACTGCCCATTCAGGAGTACAAAGACACGAGTCTCTGGTGGGGCAAAGACAGCGGTACAATACAAAATAAATGCAAGTACTTTATACAGTTTAGGTAAATCAAGGCGACGCTCACTTGAAGATCTTGCCCTGGTTGAATTTGCGGCCCTTCTTGTCTACGCCAGTCCACGAGAAGTAGTCCTGCACCAGCTTCTTGGTGTCGGGGCTGGAGGGGTCCAGCTTGGTCCAGTCATACGACTCGTAGTCGATCTGCCAATCGGGCGACTGCGTGAAGGCGAGGTCCTGGCCGCGCCACACCCACACGCCTGAGATGCTGGAGTCGTTGTCCGACCCGAACAGACAAACCGACGCGAACGCAATCTTACGCATCTTGTCCAGTCGCTGGAACATGCCTGCAACATAATCCATAACAATTGTCAACAGTTGTTACCAAAAAATGAATTAAACTAACACAGATAATTTGTGCATTAATCTGGCACAGGCAATATAATCTGTTCATGTTACGTACCAGTGATAAGGTTGCAGCTCATGAAGACTTTGGCAAGCTCCTCGGGGTATTTGTATTCAGCATACCAGATGGAATAGTTTTCAGGATCAAACTTCTCCCAAAAGTAGGGGATGGATTTGGCCTCATCTTCATTAGAATAACAACGTTTGAAGTCATCCATGTTGAAAGTCCTGAAAGAGTACAAAAAATATAACATCAAAGAAAAGTTAAGCTTTATATAACTATATATATATGCATATAAATATATCTACTCATTGGATTTCTCATCAATTTCTTCAGCCTGTTCTGGTGCCGGCTCCTCCTTCTTCTTAGGCTGTTGTTCCTTTTTTTCAGGTTTCTTTTCCTTCTTGTCTCCAGAATCCTGAAAGTCAAAGAGTTTCTTTTTATAATAAAATTGCATTGTGCAACACACATACATTAATGCGTTGTGTTGGTTTTGTTGTAATGACTAGTTCCAAAAATAAGAACTTGAGTGAATTATTTAGAGTGAAGAATTTGAGTGCATTTAGTTTGCGAAGTTTTGTACATAAAATAGTTTTCATCAAATCAGAGTAGAAGCCTGATGAAGGACTAGATGAAGGTTCCTCCCTACAAGCTAGTTTGGGAGTTATCCTATTATTTATTTATCTTTATTACACAAACAAGCCTATTCAATAGGTATCATACCTATTCACCTGTTTATTGTACTGTCACCAACTGAATATAGGGTGTAAAAAGACACTTAACGAAGCCGTTAACTACGCATACTGCAGTTCTAATTAAGTAGCTTTACGCTAAAATTATCACTGGGAAACGACTTTTATTTTTAGGTATCATAAAAAATAATAATTTTATTGCGCGCAATGTAAAGCAAACGGGTTTCGTGTCATTGTGTGCGTAGGTTCACAGCTTAGCATTAAAACGCTGTGATAAGTACGTAGGTCGACGTTTTTCTTCGTAACAACAAAACAATTCTGTAAAATAAAAATCCTACTGAGAAGCACGATGTTTTTTGTGTATTTATTACGTACATTACTGTTCGTAACTTCAAATGCGTAATTTATTTAGAAAAATCGAAAATTCAGGTAATGTTTATTTAGAAAAAAGTTTTGTAATAATACTTAGGCAAGGCAAGCACAAGAAGTCTATAGAAATGTATATCAAGATATAGTTTCCCATTCATTTCCTTTATCTGATATGTTTGGCCTGAATAGTGAACATTCTTGTAAACAGTCTGCTTGTGACCACAACCTGTGCAACCCAGTCGGAATGTAAAGCCTACTAAGGTATTCAAATAATAATTTTCCGCGTAAATAAATATATGTTATGAACATTCTTGGTTATCATATAGTTGTGAACATCTCTGATAGCTAACTAGAGTGCAGCCCTCAGCCGGTCGTAGAGATAGCATGGCACTGCCATAGTCAGAAAATTAGAAAAAAATAGGAGAAAGAACAGCAAGGATACCTTCTTGGCGGCGGGCACAGAGGGAGGCGCCTGGCAGAGCGTGGGCGGGGGCAGCACGGCGGCGACGGCCGGCTGCGCCGCCAGCGTACTGAACCACCGCGACACGCAGCCCAGCTCCTTGCGCAGCTCCGGCTCCAGCACGTGCTGTAACACAACCAGCGTTACTGCCCGCGCTACTGTCGGGGCCACGCCCGGGCCGCCGGGCCCGCGCTACTGTCGGGGCCACGCCCGGCCCGCCGGGCCCGCGCTACTGTCGGGCCGAGCCACGCCCGGGCCGCCGCCTTACCTGGAAGGCGTGGATGAGCGTGCAGAACACGATGATGTCGGCCAGGGTAACACGCTCAGTGACGAGGAAGGTGCGAGTGAGCAGGTGCGCGTCCAGTACTTTCAGTGCCGCCAACAGGTCCTGCTTCGCACGATTTACATTCTGTAAACACAATTGACAAGCGTTTAAAAATTATATTCATTTCTTAATACACTAACCATAGCATAACTATTTATTTCAAACACATAAGATAGTAATTAAAAGTAGTACCTGTTTGTTGAACTGCATGATACCAAGATAAGGGAAGACCCAGGCACAGGATGCGGGCAGGAGCTCACTGTCAGCCCAGGAGGCCCATTGCAAAATGCGCGCCTGTGTGGCCGCGTCTGAGCCTCGCAGTGCAGCATTGGATACTGCCGCACGGATTAAATCAACATTACCAACAATAATATAATACATCTACTCCTAAAAATTAGATGTTACAGCATCATCACTCCAGTTCAATCTTTCCAAAGTGAGTGATAATGCCCAATAACGGCTGACGCAATGCCTAGTTAAAGAACCAAAGAAAAATAAGCTTAGATGCCTAGAAGGCCTAATAGTTATATAGCTAGATTCTAGTTTCTGCTACATTTCAGTTTTGAGCCATTTGGTCAGTGCAACTGAAAATCAGTGTCTGGAGGTCATTGTAGTTTTGCTGAGTGAGCGACCCATTCAGATCGGGCATGTCTGCTAACACTGCATAGTATTTTCTATCATTATTAGCCTGTTTTCAGTCATAATTTAGCTTATATCTTTAATTTCTCTGTTGCTTAACCATTACATAAAATTTTATAATTAATAATAATTCATTATTTTTCTTCCTGGTGTTCATGTCTTATGCTGTAAAACATTTTTATTGTAAAATTTAATAAAAACACTACAATTACATTATTCCAATCATACAATACAAATACAACAATGTACTATTGGATCTAATGTTGGTCAATTTAATAGGTAGAGTAGCCTTTGTTATAATTATTATTTAAATGACTTCTTTCATAGGAACATAAAAGACTATGTACTTAGAATTCCGCTTAGGATTATCGTTATCAAAATCAGTAGTCAACAAATTCAATATATTGTAATTTTACACTATAGAAATTAGAAAACGTAAATAAAGTGCCGGCTTTCACCTTCTAAATTATTGGGTTTACTCTAGCGGCGAGGTAAACTTAGAAACTGTAGTGTAGTAGTAGTATAGCGTTACCACAACATTTTAAGGTTATGTGACTAGCAGCTGATTGACATTATTTATAATATTCTGATTTGAACTTACCATAGTAAGCAATAGCATTGCTTTCAGATAGTAGTACCTTGCCGTCAGCACTTTCGTAGGCAGGAACCTACAATTATAGCAAAACTTACACGTCATCCTCACATCTTTAATCACTTCGGAAGTTTCATAAACATTAACATTTATGATCAAAATAAGCACTCACTTTACCGGCTGGAAACTTTTTCAAGAACTCAGCTGACTTATTCGTTTCACCGAACACAAAGTTAGGGGCTACTTTCAGGTCTGCTCCTGAGTACTGTGCGGCGATCAACGCCTTGTATGCACGGAAGTTTTCTGGATAGGTGTAAAGTACCTATAAAAATAAAGTGAAGGCACATTAATATGGATCTAACGTGTGTTTCTTTAATAAAATTTACTTTATTTTCTTTTAGATTACGAAGATTTTTCGTGATAAGATCAAACCTACCCCGGCCGCCATGGTTGGAACTTTTGAGAGAAAGATAGCGGTAGACGAAGGGAGGGAGGGGTCGGTCTGATGGTGACATTGACATTGACAAATTTGACAATGTCAAATTAAAATTACAACAATGTTTGCTACCTCTTGACGCTGGCAATAATATAGTCGACAACAAAAATTAGAAAAGTTGTAATCGAAGAAAAAAAACATTAAAAACCTCCAGTCAGTCATGGAAGTAATAAGTACTATACTCGGACTTTTAATTCCATTCCAGATTTGACAATTTCAGTGTTGCAACGTTATGACACGTAATAAATAGTGACGTTGCGAAATTATTCGATGTGGAAATCGATTTTTTCTGAATCGATTCCTCTCGTTTATAAATTTACTCTCGTAAACTAAGTTTATCAGGAAATAAAATATTTCTGAACCGATAATTTAGTTTTGACAATTAATTAACGATCTGAGACTTTTCTGTTGTAATTGTGTGTGAAATTAATAAAAAATGTGATCATGAAGGAACGTGACAAATAAAACAGACATTTTATAAATTGTCGCCGTCATCGCTATCGCTATCGCCGTTACTCCATGTAACAATTATTATGAATTGTGTCTTTGATATTTATTGTCAATTAACATATCTAGCTTACTCATTTTTTCCTCTTCTTTGAAAACATGGGATGTCTATCCCATGTTTTTTTATTTAGACCATTCGGTAGCCGTAATTTTTTGAATGCCTTCCTGAAACTGATTCACTGATTGTTTATCGATTTTTGTGTTCATCACTACATTGTTATATGTGGTATCATTATTTCACAAAATGACAATAGGTCATGTCAAATCAGGAATCGAATTAAAAGTCAGACTATACGTAGTACTACGTAGTACTTATTACTTCCATGCCTCCAGTGCTTTGGAATTTCATCGTAGTAGTGTCACGCCTCACGATGCTCACAATCGTTACTTTATTGTAGAATATAAACACTAATCGATGCAATAGTCTGTAGTCTAAGCTCAGTGACCCTTTTTTCTTACTCTATCACGACGAAAGCAAAAATTTTTCATTTTTTCTTCTCATATAATTATTTATAAGATCCAAGTTTTTATTGTGATACTTTTTTGGTACTTGTAGTTTCAGCTCTAGTATAATATTGCAGTTTAAATTGCCATTTAAGGCTTCGAACTAAACAATTTATTTGTGAAAACGATAAAAGTCTCACGTTTCGGCAAAACCATTACTGAGTTTTAAAACTAATGTTGATATTCTGTAAGAAATACAGTGTAGTGTAGTAAACACATGATACCTACTAACTATATCTTAAACTGTAACCTTGGTACTTATGTAAAATTGTATTTCAAATTGAGATCCTCACCTCATGGCTCCATTGATAAGCAATTAAATTGGTATTTAGTTATCTGTGCTTCAATCTGTAGTCTGTAGTATAATAAAAAAAAAATATTGATATAATCTGTGCGTTTATTTAGATCGATGGTGTGAAAGTGCAGTGGGTTTCATTTGTGACGGATTAGATTTTGCAAAATTTTGCTGGTCGCTGATAGATTTCGATCGTAATACAAGGTTTATTTAAAAACAAATCAAGATGGTTAGTATGAAATCCTGAATTGTGCGAATTATTTTTAGAATAAGCAAACTAGGAATACAGGATTGACGAAGGTCCAAGCCAGGCCCATTGCCATCTAGATGAAATGGAGCCGGTGCTGTGGAGATAGGGCTGCATATTGAATTTCTTACAATGTCATGATGATTTTGTTATAAAAATATAAAATTACCTACATAAAGCAATTTTATGTTATCGAAACACTAATTGTGTGCCTGTTCACTTTCCAGGGTAACGAGAATTCTATTCCCATGGAACTATGTTCTAACTGTGAGTATTGTACTCAAATTACTTCTAAGAAATCTGTCCTTTCTGGTTCTACTCTTATTTTGTCTTATCATTTAACACTTAAATTATTGCTTAAATCTTGCCTAAAGTGTTTGTCATTTTTAAAAGTAGCTTTTAAATATTGTCAACTAACAATAAAGTTCCCAACTAACAATTTCACAGTAAAGTAATAATTTGATGACAGAGAACTTACATGAACTCCAAATAAGTGATAAAGTAATTAATGCTTTTGATGTACTAACATATATTATAGCTCTGTGGCTAACAAATGTCATCACCCCCCAATGATAAGTGCGGTCAACCGAGGACCTCTAGTGTCCGTTTCAGTGTATACCATGTAGGGTGTGCAAATAAAGCATAACAAGAGGTTTGTTTTCAGCGCGTGTAAACTGCATTGATTTTAAGGTGGAGAACTGTGAGTGTCGTAGTGTCACTCGCCTCCGACGTTCATCTACATGTTAGAGTACCGCACGCACACACATTCGCGTCCAGAACAATTTTTGTGTACTTAGTTAGGATGCTCTTAATATTTGGAAGTTGAATACAGCCTTTACCATGACACCTGACTGTATATAGCCTAGAGCTAATTCCAGGCTGCCGATACATTTCATTTTGTTGCAGCACTCATTTTGTAAATAATGTGTATCAATATGGTGAAAGTCTTTTGTTTTCTTTATTTTCCTTTCTTATATTTCTTCTTTATTTGTTTTATTCTATTTCAGCTTCCTGTAAAATGTTTTGAAATAAACAGGATTATTGTGCTATATTTTGCATAATTCCTCCACCTTAACTTAAAGCAAAACTGTGAAAAATTGTTCTGGATGAGTTTTACATGAGATCCATAGTTATGTTTTGTTAGTGCATCCGCGTCACAGCCAGCCTCTAGTTAGAATTTTTAAGCTCTGGATGTTAGAATGTTACATGTACAAATTAGGTGAGAGGAATCTATGCAACGGAGAGAGGTCAGCTAACAACTTCCACAAGTCACAGGGCTACATTCATTTAGTAATCTTGATTAAAGCATGTAAATTGAAGTTCTTCTAGTGAACTAGAGCATCAGCTGCTATGCCATGTGTGACTCTTGTTTTGGGCACAAATCTCCAATAAGAAACCTTACATTAGCACCATTTTCATTAGAAGAATGAAGTGAGATTTGTGCCATCAAATGTACATGGACAGGCAATTGACTGTGAAAAAGTATGCTTTGATAGACTTATGGAAGTTTAAATAGGTCATATAATAGGACACATTTAGGTGCAGTGTATGTGTGCTTTTATAAAATATTTGAACTGGTAATTCCAGCTATTATACCCACACACATCTAAACAAAGCAGTGGCCTCTATTCTCAACTACAAAGGATAAGATATAGTAACAATATCAGGATACTAATTACTAAAATTGCTTGTTATATTCTTAACAAAATCAATTGACTATCGAATTGTGATTATAGCTAAGTAGTTGTGTTGTGGTGTACTAGCTAGAACTATTGTTTCCAATATATGTGATTTGTTGCCACTGCCAAATACTTATCTATCTTAAATGTCGTGGCGTGAGATATCATTCGTCCAAATTTTTTAGTCTTTTTTCACTCAAGAAAACAGATGTAATTAGCACACGCTGCACCACAAGTTGTTTCCTTGAATTCGATAAAAGAGAGCAAGCTGTGAAATTTACTTGAGTATGAATTTGGACAAAGAACTTGGACGGTTGGCTCACTGCTCGGATGTTGGATAGCGTGACGTTGGTGCCTAGCTATGGCTCGTTTCGTTGCGCTTCGTGTTGGGCGAACGTTTGCCTTGTCATAGATTGCTAAGCCTTACTTCATTTTTTGTGAAAAAGTTTTGTTCACATGTTATATAACGCAGATTTATATGCTGACCTTTTTCGTAGCTTGTTTTAGTCGGTGTTGTGGGTCTAGGATGTTTACTTCTTAAAGTCGTCCTCTGTAGGGCTGCGCAGCTGTTCAATAAATAAAATTTACAGAATATGAGGATTAAACATCTTATAGAATTGTACTTTCAAGCTATGATCAGTTAAAAAATAAAAACTGGATAAACTATCCATCGTTAGTTCTTATAACATTTATTGTGTTAAACTTGCGTGAACATAAAATATATGTCACATTTTTGACATTTTCAAATGAATCAATGTTTCTTATCCAAATCTCGGGGCTAACCTAGCTCCTATTTCTAAATATATATTGTCATTGTCAAAGGAAACGCAACTGCCTTCCTACTACGCGGCGTTTCTTCTTTATGGAAGATGTTTGCAGCTGTCACGCCACTTGGCAATTACAAGTGTACAAACATCACGCGTCGCAGTGTGTGTTGCTCCGATTCCGTTTCAGCTGGCAATGCTTCCCCTGTTACGATCTTAGAAGGGACGCTCGCAACTCGAAGAGGAGAGCTTCATCTTGAAATAAACTCCACCTTTACGCCTCTTGTTATACAAACAGTTTAAGTTTTGGTAGGTACTTGAAACTCAACAAGTAGAGCAATGTTGTAGATATGTAGGTACACGAATTAGTAAAGACGACAAAAGATTTAGAATTTAGACCAAGGATGTTCACCGATGACAGAGTATTACTACTCGTAGATGGAACGCTTGTGTAATGCCGTTGGTGTTGTATGGCGTGCGTAGAGACTAGCGAGCGCGTTCCTATTGTGCGACCACAATACCTGACTTGTGTAGTAGATGTGTAATGTAGGTGTGCATTTGTATGAGGTTACAAATTGAATAACATTTATATATGTCTGAGTAGATGTTCATTAATTATTGTTTAAAATGTATTTGTTTCACATTCTGGTGTTGCGTTGCATGACTTTGCGCTACACATGAATTATCTCCTTGCTCAAACGGTGCAGGCTGAAGTCAATCTAAAGCCTCATTTTAACTTATAAAATAAAACCTTAAATTCTAATGACTCGGTGGTAGATAGCTAAGATACGGGTGACTTAGATCTATTGAGAATGCTGTAAAAAAGAATGCGTTGCATTATTTTATCTGGGGGTTATAAGTATTATGGTATATTTATTTGTAAGAAATATATTTTAACAGCATACTATGGTGCGTCTGGCCACTGCCGCGGTCGCACCATTTCGTTGAGTTCAGATAAGTAACGTGTTAGTAATATAAAGTGTGCCAGTGACGTCAACGTATGTACTCAATGCGACCGCTGAACACACATTACAATCTATCTACCTACTGCGCAACGTGTAAAGAACTGCGAGCGTACGTGAACGTAGACTTAATTACACCAAGAGTCTCGCCATTAGATACAATGTATTTACAGTGAACGACAAATGGCACAGGGACGGAAATAAAAAAAGTATGTAGATAGGTATAATATATATATGAATGAGTAATGTGTATTGTGTACATACACGTAGCGATGTGCGAGTGTGTCATGATTGGCCTGCCGCTGGTTCCCTCAGGCTAGTTCCGCTCAAGTGTGTGTGTGTATGTGCAGTCGATGCAGATGAGATCCGGCGACTGGGCAAGCGGTTCCGCAAACTAGACTTGGACAATTCCGGGGCATTGTCCATCGACGAGTTCATGTCACTACCAGAACTGCAGCAGAACCCACTTGTGCAGCGCGTCATCGACATATTTGATGCGGACGGGAATGGAGAGGTAATTGTTTATTACTTTAAAGATTTGTAAATGTGAGTGCTCTGTTACCTATTATAAGTAAATTAGACTTGTAGGATATAGGTACTTGAATCAGTTGGCAGTTGTCATGCTCACTCAGAGATCTCATTGGAAGTGGTACGGGCACTGTATCGCTCGATTCCCTATAATATGGTTGAGTTGGGCGGAGCTGCTGTACCTACGTGTCATGTTCGTGAACGGTTTTTTTACTTGATGTGCAATACCTAGTGCCTAGTGGTATATTTGAAATACATAAATGATTTGACTTTTAACGTACCATATATCTTTCTCTAAACGTACATACATAGTGGTAGATTGAGCAGATATTCCATGAGAGATTCGGTAGAAACAAATGCTGCAGCTTGGTCGTTGTTGTAGGTCGACTTCAAGGAGTTCATCCAGGGCGTGTCGCAGTTCAGCGTGAAGGGCGACAAGTTGTCCAAACTAAGGTTCGCGTTCCGTATCTACGACATGGACAACGACGGCTTCATCTCCAACGGAGAACTGTTCCAGGTACGTACGACGCACGCGTCACACTAGTATGGTCACTGGTCACCCCGTTTGGTTACCTTGCGCGCCGTGCGTTGCAGGTGCTGAAGATGATGGTGGGCAACAACCTGAAGGACACGCAGCTGCAGCAGATCGTGGACAAGACCATCTTATTCGCCGACAAGGACGAGGACGGCAAGATCTCGTTCGAGGAGTTTTGCAACGTGGTGGGCAACACTGACATACACAAGAAGATGGTGGTGGACGTGTAGGCGGCCCGCGCGCCCCTCCTCCGCTCTAGCTAGAACACTATTTCAATTGGTGTCGGTCGCGTCGCTGCTCCTTTATTTCGCTAGGCCATGCAGCCAGTGATATCAATTTTATTAAATATCTACTTGCTCGAAGCTCGTCTCTGCTGTCGAGGCAACAACTCGTTGCATCGGTGCTGCCAGACTAGGACCCTAGTGTTGGCCGGCTACCACCAGCACGGCGAGCTAGCGACGCGACCGACCCGCGCTAGATCTATCGTAATACATTAAAACAAATCTATTTAACTTTAAGTAATACATACATTTTATTATAGTTATAAATCATTAGAGGATCTTTATCGTAGTCGAATCGGACGTAGATTTTTATTGTAGTTTTTGTTGCAGTAATTTTACTTTATTTTGTTATTTAGTATTTTATTTGGACAGAGCTTGTAAGTTCATCATGAGTAGTTTGGGTTGAGGATAAGCGGACGGCTGCTGACTCGACTGAGTAGTAAACTGTTTGTGCCAACACCGATGACGTCACTCGCTGGCGTGAAGCCGCGCAGCACAGACGCGATGTTTAATGTTAAGGTAAATGTGTCTACTTCACGTTTTACTTGTCCACTGGGGCTCCGTCTCGGCCGGCAGGCAGGAATGGTCGTTGATGGGTACCAGTGGATGCAGAGCTCTCGTAATAATCTCGTATAGGACTCGTTACTACTATATAATAATTGTATACACTGATCTTATCGCCTTATCCGAATTTTATACAGTTAAAATTTTACGATATTAGTTGTTTAGACGTAGCCGTGTATAAAGTATGCGTCACTAAGCTCGTGCGGAGTCCCGCCCTCCCTGTCCTCCTATCTCACTCCCTCCTTCCGCAGGTCCTCGGCGCCCTGAAATGACCGCGGCCGCAGCGTACGCGGAGTGCGCGCGCGGTCCCACTAAAAGTGAATGTACAAAATATTCTTAGTACGTATTCGAGTAATTTTATTATATTCATTATGTATCAATTTTGTGTAATAATATATTGTAGGAATGTTTCTGAGCTCATCCGTTTGTGACCGATTTGTCAGGCGAAATATACATAGTTATTTATCATGCGATTTTAATTACGCATAGTTAATTCTTATAGTCGTGTGTTGTTTATAATATAATATTTAAGTCGTTTTACATGTTACCGAGTTGTCAACGGCACCTTACGATACTTTAGAAGCGAACGCACGTGAATCTTAATATCTAGTCACAGCTGTTGTGCATTATTGTACGGATCATACTATATATTAGCTACTGTTAGTGAGAGCGGACCACACGCCTTGCCAGCGCCTGCTGCCTGACCACAACTATATCAATTAACGGAATCCAAATCTGGCTAGAGCTACTTATTCAAACTAATTTGGATGTAAACGAAAGTTACATATGACATACAAGTTTTTCTATCTCATGATAAATGTCTTCGAAGTATTTCAAAATAGTTGTACCCACATAAAGCAATATTTATCATGTCCTATTAAGGTATCACCTACTAAACTTGGAATATGGCGGGTGAGCCGGCAGATTACTCTGCCAGCAGTGATTGTTTGCTTTATAAATGTCTAATAGATCGTGGCAAGTTGTGAAACATATCTCTGTAGTTGGTTGTTGGCCGTCGTGGCACTTGTTGCGGATGTCGTGTTGTCTGCTCATCTCCATCGGTAGGTAGCTTTACAAAGTCTACTCTAAATAAAACTGAACATGTTTTATTAAAAATTTTCAAATTTCAATGATTGTGCTTGTTTTATTTGCCTACTCTAATATTCATTGACACTTCCCAGGGAATATAGGACTGCAGGCAGCTGTAAATACTTTCTTCCAGAGATGTGTGTTATAGTGTGTAACCCTCAGGTTTTATATCCATCAACCTTATTTATTGCCTCAAATCGATGGGCATTGATGCAAATGAATTCAACGAAGTTCTGCTCTGGGTGTAAATAAATTATGTATATTCTCGTATTCTCTAATATGGCTGCCATTTACTTGAAATGTTTGTAGCTAAGCTTGCAAAATAGTAGGGAATCCCAATCGTGCCCACTGCACTGTAACCTTACTAACCAAAGCTTCATACTTAGATGATTTATATTCAATTTGTTACCTATAAAGTTATATAAGTACATGCGACACACAGCTTTGCAAAACAATAGCTGCCGTGTGCAGCTATTCTCTTTTAAATTATTTTATACCTAACCACACTTTTAGGTGGAAATTAGATTTTTAGACTAAGGTCCTTAAAGTACTCACCTAAATGAAAGTCATGTCATGAATGTGTCAATAAATTTAAATCAAGTCATGAATGTGTCAATCCTGGTATGTTGTATTTGTTTTACTACATGAAACAAGATATTTGGCAATGTTGCTGACTAATAAAAAAAATCTGCAGTGTGAGTCAGACTAATATACAGAGACTATTTACTGTAGCACATATAGCAGTATGTTTGCAGTATAAGTATGCGTTTGTTGTATGGAAGCCCTCTTTAAGAATTATAATTATAAAACAGATAATGTATTTTTATATATTTAAGTGACAATAAAAATACATTATCTGTTTCTATTCCAATCACAGACAGTATGGAACCATAAAAAATTAAGTTCCTAGAAATGTTTTCCAAGTTGTACATAACTGTGACATTCATGAACACAACCACAACACCGGAAAAATCTAAAATGGAAGGTCATATAAGAAAACATTGAGTAGCTCCCTAAATCTTCAAATAAAATATTATTAAAATAACATGGTACAATTTATGAATAGTTCTACATTATTTAAATTACATAACTAGTGTGAACACTATACAAATCTTGTTGCTATTGCCAATAGTTTGGTGTAGTCGGCTCCCTTAGAATGTGTTTTCTCTTTAAGTATGGTCCTCAGTATAGTGGGGATTGGTACATGGATGCGGTTGCCCAGTGGGGTTCCATTGTCATCTATTAGCACCACATTGTTGCTGTCAAACTTTGGCACTTTCACATTTTGTTTCTGTTTCATACCCACCAATATTCCTTTCTTCTTTTGACCCTTGATGGCTACCAACACTCTATCACCAATATAGCCCACATCTGAAATGGATTAATTTAATATTTATAACACAGCCATTAGCAATGCATGGTGGTGTACCGCCATTTCACTTAGCAACTAGTTAATACATAAATTAGAAATATGAATTGTTAGAAACATTAACCCGGTTCAGTGGTAGCACCCATAAGTACTGATTAATGGGTCCCGGTCCCACTATTAACCACCACCAACCACTTCTGTTAATTTATTTATAGGCAATTGCGTCGGGTTCGAGAAGATTTTTATTTATACACTGAATTTTCCATTACCATTTTCCATGGTAGGTACTTACATAGCAATAATACTGCGGCATAAACTAGACACCCGCAGGCATTTTATAGACACGTGTATAAGACGATTACTTACGTTTTTTGTTGTAAACACATATAACTTTAGGTGGTTTTCCTTCAGCCATGGCTCGTTTACCAATTTCCGAGTTGTCGACCACTCTTAAGCGACTCAATAGGCGCACCTCATTCATGCAGGCAGTGGTGTGAAACGTGCGCGATATTTGGGCACTATGTAACTTATTAATTAAAGATTTAAACATTATGTTTATTTCACTTTATGTTTACTTATTAACTTAAAATATAGAGGTTAGAAAATTCCACAAGATTCCGATACTATAATAATATCAAGTATCAAAGCATGACACTTCTTTTTTGACAACGTCATTTTGACATTGACAGTTGATTGCATCGCAACCATTGAGATAGAAAATATATAGAGGCGCCGTGTTACTATAGAAGTATACATGCTTATACAAATATGAGGGAAATATGAAACAAACTATGAAATATCATTTTTTCTCACTCTTTCTAAGGCAATAATTGTATTAGACAAAAGAGACAACAATATTTAAGTTGTTGCTTAATATGGAAACAAATCATTTTGACATTAGCAAAGTTGTAGGTAAGTGCCATGTCCGCCATCTTAAGCGCTCAGAGTACCTGAGTTTCATGGTAGTTGTGCTGTCAAACGGTTGTTTATGTTTTAAATTATTGCGGTTTTTCAGTAAATTACAAAGAACCATTTTTTTAAACTTCAAATATATATAGTGAAACAAAAAAACAATATGCCTGTGTGTTGTATTGTGCAGTGTGGTACAAAAAAGAACGAAAATCAACCTCAATTGTCTTTGTATAGGTTAGTAAACAGTTTTCATCAAACATTACTTAGAATAATCCACATAGATAGAAAAAAATGTCACGGATACTTTAATCTATTGCCAAAGTATATATATTTACTTTTATTTCTGTCTGTGAGACAGTTTTAGTAGAAAAATGTTGTTTACAATAATATGTCAATATGGCATAGTTACGTACCATTTCACAAAAGTATCGATATAATCTCCCATTTAAAATTCAACATATATTATACTAAATAATCTGTTTTAACAATGGATGTTTCCGCAGTTTTGTGTAACGCTAAAGTAAGACGTCAGTATTTTGGTATTGGTTTTAGTTACATAAGTAGAAGTTCAAATTATCATGTTTTATAATTATACGGGCGCGATTGACAGAGCGGCGTTGGCGACGATTCCAGTGCGACCACCAAGCGTAATAATAAAAAGTAAGATACATACAATAAGATTGACTTCACTACATATCTATTTTGTGCTAACGTAGTTTCGAAGATATCATCGCTTAATCAGACGCGCCGAAATTGTACGCGAGCACTTCACAAATACCCACAGGTTTTCCACATATATAAAGATAAACATTTAACAAACACTATCTTTTTCTATTTCACCATTCCATTAAACGCTGTTCATAAACACAGTCCTATTTTTTTAAAAGGCGCTTTACGTAGAATTATATGAATACAAATTCGACTTGAGAAAATCATTAGCCAATCAAGAGACCAAGTTAACCCCGGGTTCCGGGTTCTAGCTAGGCCGACGGCAAAGTAGGAACAGGAGTTGATTTTAGTCAGTAACGGTCTGTCCCGAAAAAGGCCGGAGATGACATTAGATGATTTCCCATAAAAAAATACCGTTAATCAGCTGGCTAATCCCTAAAACTATACCTACGTAGAACTTTTACTCAAATTGTATCGATACTCGTTAAATACTTAGTCGGCACAACCCTAGCAACGGCAGCCATCTTATGCGACATTTTGGATTGTAGGTAGGCACCTTCTTTTCGTAGGTATTTCAAGTCCATATATTTCCTATGTCAATGATCGCAACGTAAAGCGCGATAGCGTTATGGTGGAAATGAACGAGCGCCACGAGCGCCCTGTAACCAAGGAATATAATAACTCTCTACGAGAGCCTGTAACCGAGTTTCAAAAATAATGCCATCCGGTCACATAAATATTCCATAACATTTTTTTTTACATTTTTTAAGTACAATTATACCAAAAGTTGGAGAGGCGGCAGGACGCCGATGTCTGGTCCGATCAGCACGGTACCTGACGTTAGCTATCCATTAGAATTTTGTGTAGTGTGATTCAGAAAATGTTCTGGTTCTAGGAGTCTTGTGTATGTAAATTAAAGGCGTTTTTTTTCTGAGGGAAAAAAATAGTTAAAGTTTGAGGACTTTGACTTTGAGGACAACTAATTAAAAACCGCCATGTTCCTTCTCCTACTCCAAGCCGAAGTTGCGGTACCTTATTGCGCTTGCTCCGCAACTCCGCCTGAACATCGCCCTATTGGGCCCCATCTGTGGTGGTATATTGGCGGTTTAAGGTTCGCGTAGAACGCTACGCTCGGGCCTGGTTCGTATCGGGCGGCAAGCTACCCTTACTCGCTGTCTGCAGACCCGCGCTTACGGCGCCTCCCGATTCCCGACGCCGTGAGTGCCTCCTACTGCGGCGGAGGGGGCATGAGGAGCCTGTTCCCTCACGCACTCCGCCTTCTTTGCGACCATCATTGCCTCGACAGCTGGTTGAGGAGACGGCTTCCCAGTTCCTCTCGCTTTGCAGCATGACATCGACTAAGGCCGGACGCGAATGGTCGCCACCGCAAATTTTCCTGAGAAAGCGATGCTCAGTCCATCACCGGATGCTCCATTGGATCTTCCGGGTTATTTATTTATTCTTTATATATAATTTACATAAAGGTACAATTATTATTAATGCTAGAAGCATTTTCTGCGAGTCATCCTTTTGGTAGTGTAGAGATGTGTGGCAATTTAGGAAGAAACGGAAGTGGAGGTTTAAGGCGATTAAATGTTAAGTGTGTAAATTACTACTTATGTATTAATACTATTTATGTAATTAACCATACCACCATATACCAGTATAATGATATTATTCTATTTATATACTAGCTCTTACCCGCGGCGTCGCTCCCGTCATTTGAATACCTACCTTACATTACCTACTCTACCTACCCTACCTACCCTACTCTACCTACCCGACTCTACCTACTCTACTCTACCTACTCTACTCTACCTACACTAGTCTACCGAAGTACCGACCCTGTTCTACCGACCCTACTCTACTTATCCTACTATCTACCTACCATACCTACCCTACTGTACCAACCCTACTCTACCTTCCCTACTTTACCTACCCTACTCTAACTACTCTACTCTACCTACCCTACTCTACCCTACTCTACCTACCCGACTCAACCAACCCTACTCTACTCTACCTACCCTTCTCTACTCTACTCTACCTACCCTACTCTACCTACACTACTCTACCTACCCTACTCTACCTACCCTACTCTACATACCCTACTCTACATACCCGACTCTACCTATCTTACTATCTACCTACCCTACTCTACCTACCCTACTCTACATACCCTACTCTACCTACCCTACTCTACCTACCCTACTCTACCTACACTACTCTACCTACCCTACTCTACCTACCCTACTCTACATACCCTACTCTACATACCCGACTCTACCTATCTTACTATCTACCTACCCTACTCTACCTACCCTACTCTACATACCCTACTCTACCTATCTTACTATCTACCTACCCTACTCTACCAACCCTACTCCACCTACCCTACTCTACCTACCCTACTCTACCTACCCTACTCTACATACCCTACTCTACATACCCGACTCTACCTATCTTACTATCTACCTACCCTACTCTACCAACCCTACTCCACCTACCCTACTCTACCTACCCTACTCTACCTACCCTACACTACTTACTCTATCCTATCCTATGTCCTTCTCCTGGCTCTAAACTACCTCCCTGCCAATTTTCAGCTAAATCGGTTCAGCCTTTCTTGAGTTATAAGTGGAGTAACTAACACGACTTTCTTTTATATATATATATAGATATAAATATTTATTTATTTTATTGTTCTTGTTGTATTTTTAAATCTTAATTTATCATCTCACCTTCTTGTTGCACCTACCATACTCTCTCTGCATCACCCTAAGGTTGACTGGTGAGAACGCCTACGGCATTAAGTCCGCCTATGTAATGTTTTGTTGCATAAAGTTTAAATAAATAAATAAAAATACATAAAGGAAATATATACATTATCCTCACATTGCCGATACTCGGGGGTATCCTTCCACTGGACCTTAAACTTGTTCTGCTCAGCGTTATTCTCAAATATGGTTACAATGATGTGTATCTAAGTATTAAATAATGTATTAGCGAACTTGCAATACAAATATCTATTACTTTTAAAAAAGAGTAAACGACGACAGAGTATGCCGAGTGTGGCACGGGTCAGCGTGTTGGGATGAGGTCTTCCTTTGCATCCTATCTTAGGAGCCGAGTTTGCTTCTCACAGGATGATCCCAACGCTGTTACAGGTTCCCTTGCTGATGTGTATGAAGGTTAACAGAAAAGATCAGCTATTGCATTTATTACTTGGATCAGTTTACCACGCATGCCTATGTGTTTGCCTCTCAGTGTACCCCCTCAACTGCGGTCTGCGGACGGCTAGCAAGTCTTCGCCGACCAGAACCAGACCCGAGCGTACGGCACGTCGCATCCCGCGAGTGGCTTTAGAGGCCATTAAGCTATATCCCAGGTGGGGCCGACCAGTCAATATCCAACCCGACTGCACGTTAATCCTTATAAGTAGGAACCTGTATAGTTTTTCAATGGGGGTCCATGATTTGGCTCAGAAGTGGTTCGTGTAAGTTGCGCGGGAACTATAATGCTATCAAGCAAGTCAGTAAGCAGATACGACAACGATTTTGAGATATTTTTGATCAAAGAGAGTTTTATGGCGACAGGTTAACAAAATTATAAAATAATTAACTTATAGGTGGGTTATGTAATAGGTATATTTTTTGCAACGAGTTCACGTAAAAGCTTTCTTTCTTAATTTTTTTTTAGTTGCATGTCTATATTGTTAAGTAGTATTAATTTGTCTATAGTTAGTTAATTTTGATCGTGAATCATATAGCACAGGCACAGAATTAATTTTATCGTTAAATAGGCTGCTTCCACTATGCAAGTTAACTTTGGATTTATTTGGTTGCGCGCAGATTTCGTATAGTTTTCTGTGCTATGTGTGCCTACCTATGTAGGTAGCTATACTTCTTCTAGTGTACTAGTCGCTACTCAATGAAGTACCTACCTATTAGTATTTTTGATTTGTTGAATCAAAGGGTATTGATTACAAGGTGTCGAGCGCTGCGTATTGATTGCTCGTCGTTACTGTCGCCAAGGGGCCCGGCTCGGTTACATTACAGAGCG